CCCGGCGGGCTCCGCGCCGCCGCCCGGATGCCGCGCATGCGCAGCTGCTCCGCCCTCCGGAGCGGCGTGTGGGGGCCGCCGGGTCGGGGTCGGGCGCCCGCCCGCCCTGTGGGGAACGGGGACGGCGCTGAGGAGAGCAGGTGAGAGCGCCGCGACGGGATGGAGGGGGCTGCCGCGGGGGGTCCTGCCCGCGGGCAGGAGGGCTCGGCGGGGCCGCCCCTCGCCCTCCGGGGCTGGCAGCCCTTCGCCTCCCCCCCCCGCCGCGACGGTGGGGCTCCTCAGGAGCGGTCGCGCCGGCTGTGAGGGGACACACACACACACACACACACACACACACACACACACACGCACCTCGCCCACCGCTCCGCTGCGGTGCCCCTCGGGCGAGGAGGAGGAGGAGGTGGTGGGGGGGGGGGGACTGAGGTACTAAAGCCGTTGGGGTGTCGGGCTGTGTGGGGGGCCGGCGGGGTGCGCGGCCCCCTCTCGGCTCCCCCTCGGCTCCCCGGCCCCTTCCCGGGCAGGGTTGGAGGGCGGGAAGGAAGAGACCCCCCCCACAGACAGACAGACACCCTGCCCAGCCCCCGGGCAGGCTCCCGCTCACCTGCTGCGCTGACGCAGGGTCTGGGCTCCGGCGAGTGACTCATGTCGTGCAGAGCTTCCTCACCGGGCTGGGTCGGGTCGGTTGGGGCACCTTCATCTTACCGGCTCCCCCTCCTCCTCCAGGTTTTGCTCCCTCTTCCCCTTACCCACCCCTGCTCCCTCCCGCTCCCCGGGATATCCCTCTCCCCTCACCTGCCGCTCCTCCGTGGCTCTGACTCTCGGGGGGGGTCTCGTCTGCCGGGGGGTCTCCCATCCTCGTTTGCTCTCCGTGCCTGCATCTTTTCGGAGGAGCCCCGGGGGAGAGACGGTCTGTCTCCTGTCTGGCTGGGAGGGGAAGGAACAGTCACGAAACAGAGGTAGAAAGAAATATGGCAGTATCCTGTCATAAATAGGCACGCTGCAGGCCCTGTGATTGTCAGCTGTAGTAACCCTTGGAAGGAAGTCGGTAGACAAATACAATTCCTCATACCTGGCGATTCGAACTCAAGGGAGTGAAGAACCGCCGTGACACGGATTTAAATCCCTTTGCAGGCCGCGGCTGTGGGATCCGGGACAGCTGGTGTCTCTTCACAGAGCTGGTAAGGGTGGGACGCAGAAAATTTCTTCTCGGTGTCTGCTTTGCTTCCCTCCTAATCTTTTGAGGGATGTCTGAATTTAGGCAGGTACTTTCCTTCTAAACGAGTCGATTTCATTGTTGGTGTGGGGTGGGTTTTTTTTATGTGATGTCATAGCTTCCTACTTCATGATGTCTCAGCCTTACTTGCTGTGGTGTTGGGGGGGGTGGGGAGCAGTGGGAATAGAGTAGTAAAAGTGCCTTGAGGAAATGGAGGATCCTTTAGCACTAATAGAGAAGCAGTCTTGCTGGAATTAAGAACAGTAGATGTTCAGCAGTGAGAAGCTGGATCTTAAAATCACTCAAGAAGGAACTGTCAGCCTAGCAGGAGTGGGGCACTGCTGTGCTTTTGCCGAGATGTTGATCGGACTACAGTTAGTTGCTGAATAATCCGAATTCTAGAGTAGTTTTTCAGCTGCTACAGAGTCTGGAGTGGTGTCCTGGAAAGAAACAGTCACTAGGAAAAAGATCTGTTTTGTTATATATTTCTGGATCCACACGCTGTGTGTGTGGCTTTCCCTCTGCAGAAACAAAGGTTGGATTCCTACCCTGGAGAATTCACAAAGTAAAAGGGAAGGAAGGGTATGAGAAGAGGCATGACGTGTAATTAAAGAGGTCAGGGTGGGGACTGGTTGTGTCATACTAATATAAAGTTATGTTAATTCTGTATTTAACAGATTAAAATGACAGTTGCTACCTTTCTTAATTCCTGTTTAGGATACTGTTTTGATAGTGTGTGATAGGTAATCTCAGGGAGATGTCATTCATAGTGACACTTCCTCAGAAGAAGGACAAAGGGAATCCATGAGGGGCAGCAGAGAGGAGGGGCATATTTCTGGAGGAAGTGCGCTGATCAGGAGATGATAGAGTTAACATCAGCTAATGAGATGAGGGAAGTACTGCACACCTGCTCAGGACTGAAATGATTCTCCAGTTGTGGGGTCTCTGCTAATGTCCTTCAGGTTTTTCTTCTTTGCTGTGCTTTTAACCTGTTACTTGCTTTCCTGCAAGATGCTATCTTTTGCAAATATCAGTGTTCTTGATGACCTTAAAAGATAGGTAATAATCAAAATATTTAGCTTTTAAAAATCAACCTCTCTTACCTGAGGTGGCATGGTAACAGTAGAGATTATTGATTAAGGGATCTGTATGAAATGAGCTGCCAGTCTCAGACCCATTCTTAGTGAATTGGTTTGTGTGTTGCAAAATTGCTTACCATGTTTGGTATTCGGGATGCTTTAACAAAGGAATCAGTGAGTTCACCCCTCCCAAGCGATACCGCATTTGAGGTTGTAACTGTTTTGGAAATGAGTAGGATGATGTCTGTCTTCCTGGCTGTTAATTGCAAACTTCTCACCAAAACATGAGAAGGAAAGAAAACTTTAAAAAAATAAATCCTAAGGAGTATTGTAACTTGTATCTTCAGTGATAAAGGTAAGTCACCTTATATTTTCGTGTATGTGGTCCTACAGCTCTTCTACCTAAATCAGTGGTGATCGTAGTTGGTAATCTGTATCACACTGGTTATCCTAGATCCTGTCCTGTCTCAAATGGATAGGATATAGAGATTTTGCAGTTGTCAAGCAGGATGAGGTAGACAGATAGCTTCATTATATGTCAGGAGTGCAGTGTCCCAAATGTCTCTCAAGAGATAGAGAGGTGTTGGTTGGCACTTCAGGTTTGTATCCTCAGAAACACTAAGACTTGTTTAAATGTCTTTCTGTGCCAACTTCCGTTGCACGGTCAAGATTTTAGGTACATAAAGCTTCCACAGGGTAAGTATCTGGGAGCATTGGGGAAAATCTCACTTGTCAGCTGCGTTACTGTTGACACCAGGTAGCGAGGAGGAGGATGTTTTCCTGCCACATTTGTTTTGTCTGAGGAAATCTCAGCTGTTTTTTAAACTGGAGTGCAACAAGTTATATTGGTAACAGAGCAATTCTGTTTCTGGGCTAAGGAAAAAAAACAAACCCCAGGAGAAATGAAAACACACTTGTTTTATGAGATAGGAGAAAAGAAGATAGCATATTGGTATTAGTATGACTATGAGAACTGTTGTCACTGCCCAGTCAGTGCAGTATTTCTTGACTGGGAAGTACGCGATGATTCAGAGATGAGAGAAAATGTCCATAACTGACAGCCCTTTTGTTCTGGAGAAGAAATCTTCCTGATCCCCAGAAACAGAAAATATTGGGAGTTTTGTCTTGTTTTGTTACAAAAGTTAATGATTGTTGTGTTTTGCTTTTTTTTCTTCCAAGTTATCTGTGCCTGTGAATTTCTGCAGGAGCAAGATCCAAGTAGCCTAACATGACATGCTAGATAAGAGCTTTGCAAACAGTCCTGAGAGGTGTTTTGGGTGTTACTAGCCTCTTCAGAAAGTTGAGTTCTGGAAAGACAGAGCCCTGAAGGAGAAAAATCTTGAGTGCTGTGGGATATATTTTCCCTAAAAAGCCATTTTCTGGAGCCAAGTGAAGTGAGACCTGCTTAGAGTCCTGCTAGGTGAATCTGACAGTTTTTTGCTAATACTAGAGCAAATGGTAATACAGCAGAGCTACAGGAGTGTGACCTGAATCTAGCCTTCCTTGGGCCTCACCAAGAGAATGGTAAACCATGACAGTTAAAGCTTTGCAGATCCGTCAGAGGCCGTATCAAGGAAAAGCCATTCTTCAGGCTGTTGTTCCTTTGTCAATAGGAACAGCAGGCTGAGACCAGCTTGAGAATCAAACGTTCACCTGGGGGTGCCTGCAGGGCTGGCCCTGGAGGTGATGGAGAGCCTCAGATGGCACCGCTTGTCACTGCTCAGGGTAGGAGTGTCATATAAAAGACATCATAATACCTGTCTTTAAATAACTGTCGGTAGTGTCTTTCAACCTTTCTTTGATTGGTATAACACTGCATCTCTAACAGAAATATTTTCTTTCAAACTTCTGTACAGCAAATTAAACTGGTCAGCTGCCATTACCTTCCAAAGATACTGTATAAATAGTTTGCAGACTTGCAGAAGTTCATGGACCAGAAGGTAAAAATCACTTCCTGAGAGTTTTGGGGATAATGAGTTTCTGCACCTGTACCATGCTTATTTGGGTGAAAGTGTCCCTTTATTGCGCACAAACTGACTCTTATGGAAGAGATGTTTGGAGCCCCCTTAGATGCTAGTCAGAAACCTTTGGGTTATATTTGCGTAGCAGCATTTAATGTGGAATTGTCTTTACCCTAAACCTTGAAGACTAGGACGATTGCGGACCTGGCTTTTGGCGCGCATGGGCTTTCTTCCCTGTGTGTTGGAAGCAAGAAGAATTTTGCTGTGCAGTGAGAGTGGACACCGTGCTAGTTTGTATCCTGCCCTTTTTTTCCCATCCTCATTCAGTGCAGAATAAAAAAAAAACAACAACTGCTGCTCCAGTGCTTGATCTATTGTAATCCTCCTGTGTGAGATGGGAGGAGCACTCTATATTCCCATCACATATCCTCTCACCGCTCAAGTAGTGGGAGCACAGAGAAAGGGGAAACTCCTCCTTGTCTGATCCCAAGAGTCTTGGCAAACAAGAGGTTCTCCACAGCAGTGCAGTTCATGCTTAGCAGGCACCAAGTGTCTGCTGTGTAAGGATAGACACCCTCTGCTTTCCAGGGCTAAAAGTGTGGTAGCTTGTGTTAGCAACACAGGGCATCAGCAGAGCTGTACGTAAGGTTGGTTCTGGGTTTTTTTTTATTTTTCTCATGAGCCACATGGGGGGAAGCCTTTTGTTATCTCCAGATTTTAGAAGTAAGAGCTTCAGACTTTTCAAGTTGTGTCCTGCATAAAGGATCAGCTGTCTGCTTTGGAGCCAGATAAATAAAAGGCAGTTCTGCTCTGAAAAGAAAATACATGCTGATATGTAGGATATCTGCATTCTAGATAAGTAGGTGTTGTGTAGGGGATTTTTAGAGGCAAGCTTGACATCTGTGGTCTGTCCAATGTGTAAGCAATAAGAAACAGGATTTTGCTTTTTCACATCCTCATTTTCAAAATGGAGATGAAGCAGATAGGAAACTGGAATTTACCTGTTCTGTTCCTGTTGTATAAACTGAAAATTGTTCAGCACCTTCAGCTCCATGGGCGCTCTCTGCCATGACAGCAGGCAGCCTTGCTGGACACTGATCAGTGCACGGAGCAGATCTGTTGCATGGAAATAGCTTTTAGTTACATTTCTGCACGGAATTACATTACATTTCCAATGTGGCCAGAGGCCTACAAGGTGCTTTGTGGCAGGAGACACAGATTTCCATCTTGCTTTTTGTTGTCTCTGTTATGTGTCACTCCAGTAGTGCCCCAGGGCAGTTGGGAGGAGGCACTTTGCCCAGTCATGCTCCTGCAGTCAGTATGTGATCCCAGTCGGTGACTGGGCAGAACTGGAGTCCTGAGCGATGCCTCTGCAGTCAGTGACATAACACTGTCAGCAGCTTGCCATCCCTCCTGTCTCTGTAAGTCCATCACCTTCGATGCTTTCCTGATCTCATGTCCCCCTTCCTAGGCCTGCCATAGGCTTTTATCTCTGGTGCACTTTCTCTGCTATGAGCAAGTGGGCTGAGGGCAGTTAAAGTCCCCCAGCTTTTCATTCCAGGTCATGCGGTAGAAAGCAAGCACGAAGGCTACCGCCTCAGCACCTCCCTCCTGCGTCTGTAGCGTGTTGCTCAACACCCAAAGCGTTGTGAGGCTGGTCGTGGTTTGTAAGCCTGAGCGGATGGTTCCTGGAATGACCCAGGTTCAGCAACACCATCTTGGCTCCTTAACCAGGAGTTGGCGCATGTTGGTGTCCGTGTGGGATTCTGCATCGCTTAAAAAGCCAGGGTGTCAGTGTGCGAGGGGCAGAAATGGTCTGCATCTTGTCCGCTCCTTGGTCAGGCGTGTGGCTGTGCGTTGTTCGCTTACCTACTTGTTCGTGGAGCTTGAGTTTTCTTCTGACTGTACACGTGCAAAGCAAATATTGACTCGTGGGACTAATGGCATTTGCAGCTCCAGGATATGCCTTTCCCTGACCTGAAGGAGAAACTGATGGGGGAAGGGAAGGCAAAGGGCTTCTTGCTGAGATCTCCCCTTGTGCATCTCATTGGGCAAGTCAGAATTGTAATTAGGAAAACAATGCTTTCCAGGTGTGAGGGGACAGAAAGGAACTGCCTGATTCAGTGCAGGGTCTGACTGGTGTCTGGTTTCTGAGAGAGGAAGAGTTGGTCCAAATGTTAAATTGGATGCAATCTACATGGGATTTGAAAAGCTGAGCTGGAAGAGGCTTCTAGAACTACACCTGAGTGCGTGGCCTCCAGATGAGTACTGTGGCTTTGCAATCGTTTTTCTCTCTTCCAAAATGTTTGGTTGTGTTTTTTGTGGGGTTTTGTTTTTCAAATAAAGGAAGAGAATAGAGAGCAGTGGAAACCAGCTGACAGCCCAGAGGTGGCAGTGGGATTTACTGCGTGCAATGCTGCTTCATGTTCAAATTAAGCATAATGGAAAGCAGAGTTTTTCCCCATGCTAGCTTACTGTCAGAGGAAGTGTTGTATATGCTGTTCCTATGACAGTGGACGAAAATCATTCTAGAAAGAATTGTTACGCTGCTTCTGGTCCTTCTGATGATGTTCACTGACAGCTCCTGCGTGGTTACTAGTTGTAATGTTTTCAGCATACAAAAAAATTGGTTTGTACAGTGTTTGTCTTCTGCACAGTCTGTCTGCTAGAGGTGTGTTGCTTTGTTGGTGGCTTTTTGGTGGATTCTTACTTTTTTTGTTGCTAAAATCAGCAGGGGAAGAACACTTCTAGGAAGGAGTTTCTGTCCCAAAATAAAGATCCTACTGAAAGGCTCCAGACAGCGTCATTTCATGCCTTGCACATCCAGGCACTACCACGCTGGGCTTAAATGGAGATCACATGGCAAAAGAGGCCAAGCAAGTAAAACATAGGCAGCAGGAGATTGTTATCTGGTGTTTGCAAGAAGCCAGGTAATTGAAATCTCTCCTATCACAGCTGTGTGGAAGAGCAAGTGTGTCCAGAGGAGGCTTGATATTGCCAAGTGGAAGTAAATTTGCAGGCCTCCTTCATGAGCATCAATTTCTAAAGGACACCTACACTGGAAAAGAAACTAATTGGATATAATCCTGCACGGTGTGTACTTGCAACTCCACCAAAGGTGTAGCAGCTGGAGTGCTTCAAGTAGCTGTACCTGATGCTGACTGCATCCTTTGCAGCCTTCTTTTTCAGGTACACACACTGTCATTATAGCTGTCTTCTAGCAGGCTGGAATCGGTGGTGGTGTGATTTGGTTTAGAGTCTGAACTCAAAAAGTAAAGCTGCAAATAGCAGGTACCATTTGCATTTTAAAAAAAAAAACATTTCTTTCAAAGTGTGAAGACTGCCTGTTGTATGACCAAAATTGCTTTGTATAGGAAACTTAAATTGCCTTTAAACATGGGACATGCTTCTTAATGCATCGGTGAAAACAGGTTTTAATTTTAGAGTTCTGAGGGTTTGGGAGTTGCCATTAATATTTGTTGGATCGGGTGGTTTTTTCCCTTTGTATCCCTTACTGTTACTAGTTTTCAGAAGTGTGTACTGTGCAAATAACACAGCTAAGTTAGCTGTAGCAATTTCACACTTGCAATTTCACAGGCTTCATGGGAGCCCCTTTGTTACTTGCCGTCCTCTGGCTAGGAGAGTTTGAGATTTGCTTTAGGTTTATATCCTTCAGTCCAAGGAAAGAACTTACTGTATCAAACGCATATGCCAGACATCCTCCTCCTGGCTTGCACTGGTGTGTGCCTGGCTGTGTCAGGGAACCTTCCTCCCAGTTCCTGTGATGCTCTACTGGAGGCAGAGCCGGAGGGGGCACAAAGCAGGGTGATGAAGACCTACCGGGCTGGCGCGGTGGCCTCAGCACCTTCTCTTGGAGACACTTGGCTCCCTGGGCAGTACCCAGTGCATCAGGACCTTGTGCCACAGCAGGAACCTTCTCTCCCCACCCTGCCCTTCCGCACAGCCCAGAGCCAGCAGCAGGGTGAGCCTCTCCTGTCCCAGATGGGTGCTTGCAGGAAGGTTTCTATAGGAACCAGGGGCAGGAAAAACCTGCCCACCGAGTTCAGTGCTCTCATGGCAGGGACAGGAGGGCAGGCAGCAGAGGCCAGCGTGTGATGACGTGGGCAAGGGAAGGTGTTCCCCTCTGGTATACCTCTGCTGGGACGATGAGGGACCTTCGGCCTCAGCACTCCCCTGCCCTGCTTCCCAAGCACCATGGTTAACTCTCTTGTTTTGGGGTCTTTTCTCATCTACGTGCCTAACACACTGGCCCCCTCCGTAGCAGGTTGGTTCAGCCGTGATTGTGCAAGCGATGAAGATTAATAACGACACTCACGTGCTTGAGGCACTGAGCAGGGATTCAGAGCACAGGTAACGAGAAGCATGGCAGAAGTACCACGTGGCTGAAACAGTGACTGCATTCCTAATAAAAGTTACTGGAAACAGGCTTAACTGGGCTGAAAGAGGGCAGGGGAGAAGGACATATGGCAGGCTCAGGAACAGAGCAGTTGTGGTACCAGGGCAATGATAAGCCTGAAAAAAAAGCATCAAAACACATTCACAGTGATGTTGAAAGGGGAATAAGTATTGTCAGCAGATTTACCTGCTTGGTGTGCATGCTGTGCATGTTCCCATCTAAAATGAGTGCTCAGGTGCTCATTTTGCAATTCTTCTTATATCTTCAGCTACTGAGGGAAAAGTTGGTGCTAAGAGAACAAGTGGGGCAAGAGTGATGGGAAGGGTGGAAGAGTGTTTACAGAACTCGAGGGTAAGCGACTAGCCATTGTGTGGACAACATTACTTCTCAGAAACAAAAGCTCAACTTTTTCTTGTTTGTTTTTTGTTTTGTTTTGTTTTTGCCCTGAGAGTTGGTGTCAGAAGATCAGAGTGCCTGTTCATCCATGTTGGCCTTTCTCATGCAGAGAGCTGTTTAAATCTGGAAGGACGAAGCCTTATCATTTGTGTTCTCAGACCCAGATGCTTTTTATGCTTTTGCAGTGTTTTACAGCTGTTTATCTTGGAGTGCTGTAGCAAGCCAATTCCAGGCTGTAAGTGCTCAGTGGAAAGCTTACTGAGATGCAAAGAGGATATAACCTTGTACCATTGAGCACTATGAACAACTTGGACAGGGCCTGCTCGTTGAATCCCTGGGGTTCCTTCTTTTAGTGGTTTGCAGTCATAAGTAGCTTTACTGAAAAGGGGAAGCTGGAAAACCCATCCCAAATGTGCAAATGTTAGTTTCTCCCAGGTTCTTTCCCAAGTAAGTGCGAGTGACTGATATATCCCAGCACTAGCTTTATCTGCTTGGTGGAGGTGGCTCTTGCTGTCTCACACACACAGTTATAAGGTTGATCTTAAAGTCCGAAGTATCTCTGATTACTGAACTATTCCATTGTTGTCCCGGAAAACCCCTATAAAAATCTGCTCTGAGCTGATATCGGGAACGTGAGGAGGGGAGCTGTGTGGGCTGTTTCATCATCTGAGCTCGATCACCAGATTTAGTTTAGAGGAGCCTGGCTCATTGCAGAGGTACTCGATTGCATATTGATCATATCCTAGTCCAGTTCATCACAGAAGACCCTTGTCAGAAGCTTTCCCAGCTCCCTTCAGGGAGCTGTATTCCACAGCCTAATACACTTTGCTCTTCTGATTCTACCCCTAAAATCTCTTTCAGGCTTATTGCATCTAATGATACCACCTTATACCGTTTTCACCATTCCAGTCCCTTCTCCATGGGAAGTCTGTCCAGAGAATGATGATGTATGGTGTGATTTTTTAGTATTCATAATTAAATATGGGACTCACAATATGTGATGGAAAAGGTGATGAAATTTGACTTGATTTTTGACATTTTTTCAGTCAGCAATGACGTTACCGTCACAAGGAATTTGGTAAATGACAGTGTGCTCTTTCTAGCTCATGGGTAGATATGAAACCAAGAGGAAATTCCAGTTTCTGGAATTTAATTTTCCTGCAGGGAACTTAAATACCAAGGGACTTGATTTTCCTGTGGGGAAGTTGTGCGAGGGGTCTGTCTGTCCCCCACCATGTTCTTAGATGCTAACTGAATTCTCACCAATTTTTTTGTTTGTTTGGGTTTTGTTTTTATAACAGGATAGTGACCTCTCACCTCTGAGAAGAGCATTTCTGCACCTGCTGACAGCCTCTGCTACTCAGCCTTACCTAGCACAATGTCAGGTGAGCAGACAAAAATGGACATGGTACCTTCTCGTTTGATTGCTTGTTCTTTCTTCAGCTGTAATGTAGTAAAAGAAAGCTACTAGTTCCAAGAGCTGTTCTTTACACTAATGTGTTGTCTGGTCAAATTAGGGGAGAAAAGATCACCCCACTCTTTGTGACCCAGCTGTCTTTTCACTTACAGTGAACTCAGTTCCTTCTTTTACCCTGTGCTGAAGCCTGCAGAACCTGCTTCAGCCATTGAACACAGAAGGAGGTTGAAATGTAGTCTGCTTTCCCCATTTTTCATAAGACTTGCTCAGTTCTGTTCTCCTCCCAAGACTCGCCCCAAAGTAGGTGGCTTGCTTATGATCTGAGAGATTTTTGTTGTAAAATGGTAGCTCTAGGGCAGGCAGAAGACTAAAGACTGGAGTTCAGCTGTGAGCTACTGATATACAAGCTTTACTAAAACTAGGTCCCCTCCAGCATGTCCACTCTTACAGTGGCCCACTCTCCCACCCCATATTTTTGTGTACACCTTCCTTCCCAGTCTAGCTGGTTATTTCAGGGTATATAACCCTGAGGGAGACTGTACTTCGAAGCCAAGTAAACCTTTTTGCAGCGGAAGAGCTGGGACATGCTTATCTGCTTCAATTGCAAAACTTGACATCTGCCATTATTACAGAGGAAGCTGTTCAAGGGAGCACTACCTGAGACTGGGAAGGTGCTTACCTTGAACACAAAAGACCATGCTGATAGGCATACTTTCATTGCTGCAGCTCTTTATGCATGGTCTGACAATCTTGCAGGGAGGGGCAGAAGTGTCCCAGTCCTTCTGCAGCAAAGGGAGGATCCTGCTGAGGGCTCTGATTTCCCATTTTGGTGCCTGGGTAAGAAAGTTTCAGGGAACTCTGGAGTGCTGCCGGTGCTGGAGTCAGTGTCTCTCTAGGAGGGGGTTTACTTCTCCATACTAATTTTTTTTTTAATGGTTCCCCTGGTGTGGCACTGACCACACAGCTTTTCCAAGCAGAAGAAAGATCACATGTTGCCGTGGAACTATTTCTCTTCCCTAAAAGTCTCTTTCTTAAAGAGAACTCCGATTGCCCTTTCTGCTTCTTTTGCTTGATGATAAGGGAGAAAACCATCTGAAATGACTTGCCTCCTTGGTGAAGTGGGAGCTGTCTCAATGTCTAGAGTGGCAGTAGTGACAAACTGCTGATAGAGTCCTTCTCTTGCTGGAACAGTCTGTATGGAGTGTGCATCTTCCAAGGGAGTCCTTCCAGGTTGTCACTGCTGTATGTTGATCTCTTTCTATTTAGGCCATCACACTCCCTCTGCCGGAGGTCCCTTCTCAGCACTCACTCCCAGCATTTGGCCTCAGGAGATCCTGGCAAAATACACACAGGTATGTGTGGGGCAGGGAGGGGGTGTTCTCTGGCTCTGCACAGAAGTAAAGGGACCCTGGTGACTTCTGGTGGTCTCTGAAAGCCACAGGGAAAAGGAGGGAGAGACGCACTCTTCCTCTGGTGGTTTGGTTGTGGATGCTTGTTTGCTACTTAAACTTCACGTGTTTTGCGGCTGCATCCTGGCTCTTGCAAGAGGATCTTGCAGAGCACGAAGAAACTTGTGTGAATTATTGCCCTGCTGTTTTGCAACTATTGCTCCACTGTAAAAATGTTGACATCCTGAGGGAGTCTCTGTCACCATCAAGCTACTCTGGATGGCTTGTGCACGGCAGGAAATGCTAGCCTCAAGACTTGTCACCAGGTGGGCAGAGCAGGAAGGAAGGAAGCAGACATGGAATTTCGTAACTTACCCGCAGTGTTTGCTGAAGGCAGCTGAGCCCAGTGAAGGTTAAAGCTTATTGTGGGGCTATGCTAGAAGCATGCTCCTTGGGTGCTGCCTGGGTGCGATGCTTGCAAGAGACCCCACGGGAAGGGCAGGTGGGCTTGCAGGAAAGAGGAGGTGTCTGTAGGTTTTCATTCCTTAAAAAAGCCTGGTTGTAACCTGCAGCGCCTACATCCCAATGCCAACCATGGGCACAGATGAGGCAAGTTGAGATTTGGGTCGTGGACCTTAATTTCCTTTGCCGTATAATTCGGGCTTGCTTGACAGGTGCAAATTCCAGTTTGGCCTGCTGTCTTGCAGAGAAAATCTGAAAGCAACAGGCAGGAGATGAAGCAATGCAGGGAGCTGAATTTGCAGTGTGTGTGGAGAGGTAACAGAGGACTGCTGTGTATTAGAGATGCAGACAGCAGAGACCACTTTAGCTGGTGTGTGTGTGGATTCCTCAGTCCATAAGGAGGGCTGCGTGCCCCTCCAAGTGGGAAGTTCTGATCTTGATATGATGCTGTGCTCAAGCCTGCTGGAAAATGGATTGCTGGGAAAATCTGTACAGGTGTGAAGGCAGGGCTTCACAACTTCCATGGAGAAGTCAAAATGGGAATGGCATGCAACACCTCCCCACCTGGGAACTGTGGTGGGAGGCATTGAAAATAAAAGGGCAAGGATTCTAGTTGCTCAGAGGGCACAGTGTGGACAGTGGTGGGATGGGGCAATATCCACATGTGTCTGTTCAGTTGTTCAGTGCTAAACTGGTGAAAGTGTCTGTTCTCCTTCCTCACATCTCCCAGAAAGAAGAATCCATCGAGCAGCCAGAGTTCCACTATGATGAATTTGGTTTCCGAGTTGATAAGGAAGGTAAAGTCAGTCCCATCCTTCCCCCTTCCATTGTGTCTTGTGTCCAGCCCTTCCCATGCTTCTAAGTATGGCAGGGTGATTTTGCAACTGTTCTGTGCTAGGTCTCGTCTGCCCAACTGTCATCATCTTTCTGTATCCTACCGTTGTAATCAAGTGCATTAGATGTGCTGGCCTTATGGGAGTCTGGAGCACAGACTATGCAGCAGAGTAATTTCCATCCCCTTATGCTTGTGCCATGGGTAAGAGAGAGAAAAGTTAAGAGGAAGTTACATTTCCTTCAGCAGCTGCATGCTGGGGAAGGGCAACTTTCCCAGTTCACAGTGGGGTCTCTGTCGTGTTCAGTAGCACTGTAAGCACTGATAGCAAGCACAGGGACATGTTCTGTCTGTTGAAAAACTTGTAGCCAAGGTGAGTGCCAGCAGTATGTGTTCTACCCATCCCAGCAGCTTGTCAAAGTGTAGGGCAAATGCTAGGGGCAAAACCCACATCCTAGTTTTTTCTGCAAGATATAGAGGCAGACGACCAAATAGAAGGAGGTGTGGAGAGCTATTGCAGCTGGGCATTGAACTACAACAACTGGCTGCCGTTGCAAAGAGGAAGAGAAGGGAGTGGGGGATGCAGGAATTGCTCTATGTGCTTTGAGAGAATGTTTCCAGGGCACAGGCCATACAGTGCAAGAGCAGAAGTTGTTTGCATGTGTGCCCTGAGACACCTTGAGTCATAGAGGATCCTCTTTGAAACAATGACCTGGAGATGAGGACAGGACACAGTGATTTTCTTCAGCCAGGACATTTGATAGACTTGTGCATTATAAAAATCAGCAGAAAGATTTGGATTGCATTGTTGGGATGCATGATATGATGAAAGACAGAGTGTCTTACGTCAAACCTGTACTTGTGCTAAAGTATCTATTTTAGAAAGCCAGCCTCAGGTTAAGGTGCTCCTTCATTATGAATTTGGAAGTGTCCTTACTAAAGCTTTTTTGGTGATTAAATATCCCCAAAGTTAACATTTTGCACCTCATTACTTGCATGAGCATATAGCTTCTGCTTGCCACCTCTGAGGCTTGCTACGCTTTTGTCAGCCTGATTTACAGATCCTCACAAAACCCAGCAGGATGACTGCTGCCAGGATCTTGTTTAATTCCAGCCACACTCTGCACTAAATCATGAGTAAGTAGAGACTAGAAGCCTGCCGACAGCTTCTTAGTTCTCAAGGCCCCAGTGCCTTTTGCTTATGACCATAAAATTTGCTGTATGGAGAAGACAGTTAGAAACAAAGCTTTGCCTTTCCATGCTCTGACTGGAAGACGTGTATGTTTTTAACGTGCTTTCTTCAGATGGCCTTCCTACTCCCCACCCTGCCCTATGTTTGTTCCCTCTCTCACTTGTCTTCATTTCGTTCTCCTCCCTTTGCTGAGGCAGATGGTGCTGAGCCAAACTCCAGCAAGTTTCTGGGGGTCCCACTGGTGGAGGAGCCACAGCAGAGGCTCAAGTGGCAGGCTCATCTGGAATTCACACACAACCATGACGTGGGCGACCTCACCTGGGACAAAATTGAGGTCACCCTACCGCATTCGGACAAGCTGCGCTCCCTGGTGCTAGCTGGCATCCCACACAGCATGAGGCCACAGGTGAGAGTGCTGCCTGTTGTAGGCAGGCTCTCCTGCCTGGACTAAGAAACAGTGGAGCGAGACTCCTTTCTCTTGGTTGAGAGGGTGCCAGATTATGGTTTTCTGTGGCTGTTTTAGTGACTCTTCCTATCTCTGTTCACCCTTTCCCCTCAGCTGTGGATGCGTCTGTCGGGGGCCTTGCAGAAGAAGAGGAATTCAGAGATGTCGTATCGGGATATCGTGAAAAACAGCTCTAACGATGAAACCATTGCTGCCAAACAGGTAGGAGATGCTGCCTAGTGCTGACTGGGCACAAGGGAGTGGGGAGAAGGGCAAGATTTGCTGCATGAGGAGGAAGGGGTGTCTGCCTAACACCTGCAGCAGGGACAGTTGAGAGGACATGTGTGGCTGAATCCTGCTAAAGCTTAATCCTGTTGGGCGTATTTCTCCTTTGTTTTGTTGGAATAGCAACTGTGCAGCTGCCTGCCTTCCTAGGACAGCAGGGAGGGGTTGGACCTGTGCTACCTGCAGGCTAGAAAACAGTGCTGCAGCTACATCTCAGCAAACATCCTGATAGTCGTTGAGGGAAGTGAAGGGTGAAAGGCTGACAGATGCACCTCTGTTGAGGTAGCGGCAGCTGCTTCCAGGGACTGTCTTTGTTGCCTCAAACACAAAGTCTCTGAACACCAGCAAGACCGTTACAGGGTGTTTTCCCTTTTCCTCTGACCTCTGCCTTTGTGGGAGGAGGCAAAGGCCATGGCAAAAGAAACTGAGCTCTGCACAGGTTCACCTCTCACTAAGAAGCTAGATTCAAGTGGTTGGAAGGAGGAACAACACCACCCAAGGGAGATCTGTGGGCTGTTCACCTCCAAGTTCCCTGTCACAGATGTGGCCAGGTTGTTGGTTTCTTTCTGGGGGAGGTTTGTTGGGAAGCCTTGCTTGAAATCCAAGCAGATGAAATTCCCAACCAGTATGCCTGCTATTCTCAGTGGTGAAGCTAGGGGCTGAGTCTAGGCAAGTATTTCTTGGGAGGCACCAAGTCACCATCTGCACTGACATTTTCCCACATGTCAGTGAAGGCTGTTAAAGGGACCCCAGGTGCTTGGACAGGGCCATCTTCTTTGGTGCCTAAGGACTTACGCATGAGTGTGGGGAAGCAGAGTTCCCTGAGGCAGCAGGCCATGGGGAAGTGCAGACAGCAGAAGGCAATTGTTCAGATGCTGCTAGCTGACCCTGTCCTTGCTTATGGCTGTCTCGCAGATTGAAAAGGACTTGCTCCGCACGATGCCCAGCAACGCCTGCTTCTCCAACATGAACAGTATCGGGGTGCCGCGGCTACGCAGGATACTACGGGGACTTGCCTGGCTCTACCCAGAGATTGGATATTGCCAAGGCACTGGCATGGTAACCTGCTTTCAGAGTGTCTTTATGATAGGGATCGTTTTGTCTGTGGTGGCTGTGCTGGGGCAAGTGATTTGAGGCAGTGCTACCAGACACTGTGGCCTCCAGATGAGCTGAAGGGAAATCCCTTCCACCTGGAACATTTTTTCTAGGGAAGGGAGAGCAGAGTAGCACCACGTGTCCAAAGATGTGGAAGAATTCAGTCCATCTGTTGGGGAGGGACAGGCATTACACTGAGGAGAAATCACTTCAGTGGGAGACTGCAGGAGGGCTGCTGCAGAGGAAGGAAGATGTTGGTCACCTAGATACTGGTCCGTCTCTCCATGTGAGGAAGTGACGAAAGAGATCTGCTCCTCTTAGGACATGCAGTTCTTCTTCCTTCAAAATCCTAGGTGGCTGCCTCTCTGCTGCTCTTCTTGGAGGAGGAAGATGCCTTCTGGATGATGTGCGCTATCATCGAGGAACTGGTTCCTGCCTCCTACTTCAGCACCACCCTGATGGGCGTGCAGACTGACCAGCGTGTCCTGCGACAGCTCATTGTGCAGTACTTGCCCCGCCTGGACAAGCTGCTCCAGGAGCATGACATAGGTAAAAGCGTGCCCTAGAAACCATAGCTTTTCTTGCCAGGGTGACCTGCAGACGAAAATTATTGTTCTTGTTTCACAAAGGGAGAGCAGCAGGGCTAGGTGCAAACCTCCTGGCCCTGGAGGCAGTGCGTGCATGGTCATCTTTGAGCTGGGAGGAGAACACTTAGGAGAGTCCATCTTCGCTGGTTGGTTGACTTCCCTTGTCATGTTTCTTTTCTGTGTCTTTGTTCACAGAGCTCTCCTTAATCACCTTGCACTGGTTCCTCACCTCTTTCGCTAGTGTTGTCCACATCAAGCTGCTGCTACGTATTTGGGACCTCTTCTTCTACCAGGGCTCCCTGGTGCTGTTCCAGCTCACTTTGGGCATGCTCAGTATGAAGGTAATTCCCACGTCCTCTTCCTACTTTATAGTACTTTGATGTTTAATTTTGAGTTTTAGGGGCAAGAAGGTTTTGTATCCACTTCCTGTATGTGGTTTGGGAATGTGCTCGGGAAGACGACTTCCTGCCTTCCTCAGAACAGAGGGCTGTGAAGAACTTCCAAGGCACTTCACGGGATTCAGGGATTGCTGTTTCCCCTGCCTGCCTCATTTGTTCCCTCATAATTAAACCCCATCAGCTGCCCCCCTCTATTCAGTCTAGATCCCAGCCTGGGAGTCCGTCTTACCTAAACCAAGATAGTTCTTGATTCTGCACCATCTCTGAGCAGAGACATTGTCGTGGTTTAACCCCAGTCAGCAGCTAAGCACCATGCAGCCACTCACTCACTTCCTTCCCACCCAGTGGGATGGGGGAGAAAATCGAGAAAAGAAGTAAAACTCATGGGTTGAGATAAGAACGGTTTAAGAGAATAGAAAAGAAGAAACTAATGATGATAATGATAACACTAATAAAATGACAACAGTAATAATAAAAGGATTGGAATACACAAATGATGCACAGTGCAGTTGCTCACCACCCACGGATCAATGCCCAGTTAGTCCCTGAGCGGCGATCCCCCCGCCCCCACTCCCCCCAGTTTATATACTAGATGTGACATCACATGTTATGGAATACCCTGTTGACCACTTTGGGTCAGCTGCCCTGGCTGTGTCCCATCCCAACTTCTTGTGCCCCTCCAGCTTTCTCGCTGGCTGGGCATGAGAAGCTGAAAAATCCTTGACTTTAGACTAAACACTACTTAGCAACAACTGAAAACATCAGTGCGTTATCAACATTCTTCGCATACTGAACTCAAAACATAGCACCATACCAGCTACTAGGAAGACAGTTAACTATCCCAGCTGAAACCAGGACAAGGTTGTGGTCATCTGGGTAGCTTTTGATGGCACTGTTGAATGCTCCAAGAGATTAGGCATTGTCCTGACAACATTTGATTTGGCTGGCTTACATTTAACCACCTGATCTTTTCCTTTTCATGCAAAATATAATTTTGTGGTTCAGCTTGCTGTGTGAAGGGCAAGGGTGAGTCTGCTGGGAGTAAGGTGAAGGTGGAGCATGGTTTGACATGGTAGGCACTCTGTAGTGTGTGAGACTGATGAGTTTCCATTCCCTTGTTCCCAGCAAGATCCCTGCTGTGCCCAGGCCTGGCAGTGGGTGCAGAATAGCTTCTGTTTTGTCCTTCCTTGCTGATTTGACTTCATTTTAGTGATGGATGCTGTGATTCAAAAACACACCAGCTAGAATTTTGGGGGCAGATCTCAGTGCAGTAGAGTAGTAAAAGATGCTGGTCCCCTCCCATAAGTAGCTTGCGCTCTTTGTACTGAAGTTTTTATGGAATTATGTAGTTGTACCTGCATTGTTTCTGGCCCAGGCTGTACACCAAATGTAAAATTGCATCTAGCAGCCCTAAGAGCATAGCTCTCGTGCTTACTGTTCTGAGTGGCAAAATGACTGCATCGTTGCAGGAGGATGAGCTAATCCAGTCCGAGAACTCTGCCTCAATCTTCAACACGCTCTCGGACATCCCAAGTCAGATTGAAGATGCAGATGTGTTGCTGCGGGAGGCCATGCGCGTGGCTGGCTCACTGACAGATGTGGCGGTGGAGACCCAGCGTCGCAAACACTTGGCCTACCTCATTGCTGATCAAGGGCAGCTGCTCAACTCCAGCACCACTGTCAACAATTTATCCAAAGTGAGTGCACAGAGTCCCATCTGCCTCTGCTGCTCCATTTTTACCATTCCCTTATGTGTTCCCTCCCAATTGCTCTTTGTGAGCAAGATGTCGTCTTGTCTGAGAGGGTTTTGGCTCCAGGATGACTGTGTCATCCAGTGGAGAGAAGGTATTCGGAAGTGAAGGGAAGGTCTGTACTAATGAAATGCTGCCAGATCTGTCCTCGTTGATAAATCCCAGGTGAAAGGGATATTGACATTGATTGTAATTATCGTTAATGAGAGTTATGATGGAGAGTGATGCATTTTATTAATGGAAACGAAAAGAAACAACATATGCTTCTGGCAGAATTTGCTTGGAGCATGCAGAGTAGGAACTGGAGTTAGTCCATTAGTGAGAAACTGATACACTAAAATAACTCTGGAAGGTAGAGTTAGGAAACAGCGTCAGCCTTTGAGAAGCTAAATAAAAAATTCTCCTGTGTTTAATCTTGGACTACAGTCTGCAGTTGCAGATGTAGTAGCTACTGTTTGTCGACGCTGCGTGGAAGGTATATTCTTGATGCTCGTCTAATCGCAAGACACTCCTGCAATTCTAGAATGTAGTAGGCATCCATTTAGAAATTTATATATAATTACGTGTAGAACTGGTTTTGGCAACAAGTAGATTAGAACTAAAATTATTCACTTGAATCATGGTTGATCTCTTGAACTTCAGTTATGCTTTCGTAATAATTGAGCTATAAATAACCTGTTGCACATGGAGCAGATCAAGCAGTAGAGCTGATTCATTGTGTTAGAACTAGAACAACTCCTGTCTAAAAATTGCTGGTTCACTTGCCTGCCCTTTCCAGTGGTAGCTGTCAGGACCCTTTGCCCAGAGCTGACCTGTGTGGAGGGTTGCTTTACTTTATTTCTGAAATCTGTCCTGATGTGTGCACTTTGCTCTCTCTCTTCCCTCTCCCTCAGATTGTGCGGCGCAGGACTCAGCGTAGGAAATCTGGCATCACCTCTTTGCTTTTCGGTAAGGACAATCCTGTACCTTTCATGTGGTGCTGATGAATATACCAGCCTACGAGGGAGGGGAGTGAGCAAAGCAGGGAAGCACTGGGATAGAGAAAGAGGAGAGAAGGGAGCCAGAACTGAAGGATGAGAGGGAAGAAGTGCAGTTTTCTACTTGCTTGTTTTGGTCTAAGCTCAGAAAGTGAATTTTAGGTTGGATGGTTAGTCCTTAAATGGTGACTAACAGCGGGCTGCAGCTCAGCCCAGCTGTAATGTCCTTCTTGCACTGACCAACAGGTCAAACACGTTTTCTGGCAGACCACATGCAGTCCACGAGCTGGATGTTGTACTCTCCTGATCTTACCCTGCTCAGTTCAGGAGCATCCCTGAAGATCTGTGACAGGGCAGGATGGTCCGGTGTGTCACTCATCCAAATTTATAAATGCAAACATCACTGCTGTTCCCCCTTACTCTGAGAGTTTGATGCTGTGAACTCTTTTGAGTCTTAATTTTCTTTGCTTATGAGCTAAGCCAGTGTATGTCCAGAAAGTACAGGGCCAGAATGGGTTTTGCACGGGTTTGGCAGTAACTTGCTTCTGTGACTCCATAATAAACCTTTCTATTGTAAGTCTCACTGTCATCACCTTCCTTGTGACTCGTTAGCTTTCTTCAAATTGCCACATCTCACCACAGAAATTGTTTTTCCGGCGGAAGACAACATACTGAATTTACAGGGTTCAAATAGTGTTCCTGTTGTGGTTGAAATGGCCTGAATAAATCTAAAACTGGGTTTTACTGGTCTTTTCAGAGAAGAGCTTTTCTGGTGTTCTCCAGGAAGCGGATATATTGTCACAGGCTTGCTATAAGCGCATACAGCATTACATATAGAAGTTATGGTAGAAGACCAATAAAGGTGTAAAGTCAAGCATGCAGAAGTGAAGAAATGCAGGAAAGTTGCTTGTGCAACCTAAACTCAGACCTCTTGTATGTAATGTTACCATACAGTCAGTACAAACTGAACTGGCAGGGAACTTAGCTGCCAAATGCATCTTTCTTGTGTCTCAGTCTCCTTGACCAAGTTTGAGTAGCTTTATGAAAGTGATAGCAAGTTATACCCACGCACAAAGACAAATTTAAAGTTGAAGCTTCAAAATGTATCAATGGTAGAACTGAGATGATAGTGTTTTCTCATGTTAGTGGGATTTCTGTGCAGTGACTGTCATGAGTTTTACCTAGTATTCTTAAAACATTGGTTAAAATAGAGAAGTTATCATCCTGCAGCAGACGACCAGAATGGAAAACTTCAGCCCAAGTGAGGGGAAGGAAAGCTTGGATGTGATAAATTCACCTTATACTGGGAACTGTCAAACAACCTTAACTGTAAAGTCTGCTTCCTGTGATAGTTACTGTGTAGAGCTGGTACATAACCCTTGTCTGGGTGGGAGTAAGAACTTATCCAGGACTTAATTCTTTTTCCTTAGAGCGAATGCAGATTTAGTAGTGACTTGGACAGGAGTCACAGGCGCACTGTTTGGAAAGGACCTCTAGATGTCTGTAGCACAACCTCACCTGCTCAAAGCCAGGCTCTTGCTAGATCAAGTCGGCCAAGGCCAAGGCTTTCTCTAGCTGAGATTTGAGGAGTTGGACCAGATTTCTAATGAAGGAAGAAACAGCAAAAGGCAGTTTGGCAGAGAATGAGATACGCGTGTTGCCTTTTTCCTGTTGGATGGGCATTGCAACAAGGAGAGGCAGGAGAGCTAGTCAGTCTTGGCAGGCCCAAAACAGAGCCTCCTCACGTGTGGCCGATCCTGCACCAGTTCCCTGTTTTGAAATGTCCATGCAGGCATGTTGGGTGCAGTGAGGTGAATCTGGTGGGAACCCCAGTTGCTTTCCTCTGTATGGTGTATATTCTAAGGTGGGAGGGTGTGGAACTTGCTTCCCATACCTCCTACTTGTGTTTGGGTGGGATTGATCTGAGTACAGAGGGAGGAGCACAGTATTTTGGCCAGAAGGGACTGAATTGATGACAGAGGGAATCAGTGATCTATGTAAATGAGGGCAGCCCATGGAGCTAGCGTGGCTGTGGTTGAGTAGTTTCTTCTTTAGTCATGTTCTGTTTTAGCAACGTGAATTTTCCGGGAATCCCCGCCATCTGCGTGACCACCTATCTATTTACAATCTTTGTATCTCTGAATCTGTAGTGAGACTTCTTACATGCTCTATTTCCTACCCCTGGCCAGTGAGGAGGAGGTTTTGTTAATTTTCATTGCTTGGACTGGGAGTAAGTATGCCCTACCATTTTTTCTAGTCCAGAAGCAAAGTTCAGTTTTCTCTTAAGCAATGTGTGTCTGATTCTCTAATTGTTTAATTTAGCAAATAGAAAACAATTATAAAAATAATTTTAAATCTAATTTTGTGCTTCTATTATGTTCTTAAAGTGTTGGTCTTTTTAATTAGGGTCACTTATGATTAAAAGATACTGTTAATCACTTCAATAAGCGGAAACTTCATATGTATATAGCTGTTGCAGCAGCTGTATAGCTCGGGCCACACTTTATTCATATTGGTTTCTGTAATGCTGTTAGAAGATAAGCAGAATACTATTTGCTAGCAAGTGATTTACTTGGGTCATGCATAAAAGCTGTGTTTGTATAAAAATTGGAGATGAGTGAAAAATACATTGTTTTAAATGTTGATTTTGCTAATCAAGCCACCACATCTTCAGTATATTACAGAGAGAGCAAAACCAGATGTATGAAAATACACTTTGAATTTAAAACAAACTGAATTTTTTTAGAAAAAGCAGCAAATGGTTCATTGTTCCCAACCGTCATGTACCCGATTTTTAAGGCATTCAGATACATTAACTGCCTAAAGAATCCATCCCACTAGTATCTTTCTGCATAAATTAATAGAGATAGGCTGTCAAAACTCCTGGGGGAATTGGTGACAGTTGAAAGATGCTTTGGTAACTTTTACTTTCTACTTATGACCATTTCTACACACCCAAAACCTTTGAAATCTGGCTCTTAGGGAGGTCAAGGTCTTAAGTAGAAGGCAGCTTTTGTGTCATGGCTCTGAATTCTAGACTGACAGAGGAAAGTGGGCTGTCTTGCTTTTTCAAGTCTTTTATAAGACTCAGTGAAGAAGATGCTCTCAGCCTGAGAGGTATGCAAAAATCAGAAGTAGTTCAACCAAAAGCTGTTTCAGTTTCAAGAGAATTTCAGTTGAAGAGAATTTTTGAAAGTTCCCTAGTTTTGTGTCCCACCATTCAGCCATCTATATACTGCATAGACACTTCTCTAAAGCAGTATGCAGTATTTTGGTATACTGAGTTGTCCAGACAGATCAAAGATGGCATCCTCCAGTTCCATATGTGGTTTGAAATACCAGCTCCTTAAAATTTGAGGCAGTCAAATTGGTATTGGTTATTTACATTATTGAATAGATTAGCAGTAAGTACCTGCTTTAGTGTAGGCACTTCTAATGTCAGGCTTTTCTGATTTCTGCAGAATCAATGATTTCTAATGTTAACAAAAATTAATACCTTATACTTGTTTTCCTTTCCTCACCTTCCTTCTGGCTGTGTGGGCTCCCCCAGGGGATGATGATCTTGAGGCACTGAAGGCCAAGAACATCAAGCAGACGGAGCTGGTGGCTGACCTGCGTGAGGCTATTCTCCAGGTGGCACGGCACTTCCAGTGTGTGGATCCCAAGAACTGCAGCATTGTGAGTGGGAACAGCTGGATCTGCACTGCTGTGTGCTCCAGGCATGAGTGTTGAGTGTCCACCGTAGGACAGAGCTGTTCAAATGCTCCTGGAGTGTGGACTTGAGAAAGAACACACTAGGTGTAATGGGTGGAGGATGAGGGTTGCTCAGCCCATCCCTGGTGGAGGAGGGCTGTGCTGGGAGGTTGTCCGCCTGCGAGGCGCAGGAATAGGGTTGGGAAGAGGGGCATGCAAGCTTTGGCAGGTCAGCTGGGAGTCATCTGTTGCTTGTCATTGCTCTCTGCTCTTCATCCACATGCATGCTAGGATCTGACTCCAGACTACAGCATGGAGAGCCACCAGCGGGACCACGAGAACTATGTGGCCTGTTCCCGCAACCGACGACGACGAGCAAAGGCACTACTGGACTTTGAGCGCCATGATGACGATGAGCTGGGCTTCCGCAAGAATGACATCATTACGGTGCGTCAGCCCATGAGACAGGGACCCGGGCAACCCACACACAGGGCACGCCCAACTTGTTTGGGACGCTGCACTGCCTCTTCTCCAGGGAAAGAAGGGAGATCAGCTCAGAGCCCAGTTAGGAGTCTAAGGGAAGCAGTTGGTGTTTCTCGGGGCTGCCTGGGGATGAGACAGTGTGTTCCTGTGAGTGTTGTCTTGTGGGTCATTCTCAGTGCAACCACCAAGTCCCTTTCCTGGCTGCCATACAGCTGAGCAAAAGGTTGATTTGGTCCAACCTGGGTCCCATGTTTTAGCTGTGGGGATCCCATCTGAAGTTGGGGGAAAACAGGGGTAACATTGTGTTTGCAGTAGCTTTTTGCCCTTGAAGGCCCTGGGCCATGTGAGAAGAGAATGTTGGCAAACAGTTGAGGAGAAAGCAGTTCCTCATTGTGTACACACAGCTGGGCAGCTGTAGCCCTCCTGGTGCTGCACTCTTTTCAACCAGTGTTTTCCAATCCCTGTTTTTCAGATCATTTCCCAGAAGGATGAGCACTGTTGGGTGGGAGAGCTGAATGGACTGAGAGGTGAGAGCAGGATGGGTTGTACTGGGGAGAGTGGGGCCAGATGCGGAGCATCCATTCATCCACAGCAACTGCTCTCCCACATTTGCAGCAAAGGCTCTGCCGGTTTCCCACAGCATCTGCCAGGGAAATGTTAAAGCAGGGTATGAGAGCAGTGATGCAGCTACCTGGTTACTTCTTGCAAACAGCAAGTTCAGGCTCCATCCTCCTGGCACAGGGTGGTTGGGTGCATGTCATCTCTGCTGCTTCTGGGCAGTGTTCTGTAATTGGCTTCCTCTTGCAGTTGCCCTAATTCTTGTGATTTTGAGGCTGCTCACTTCCTTCTTTGGGGTTGGACCCTATGAATGCTGATTTATTCTCAGCTTCCACTGGGCTGTGGTCTTGTCTGTGTTGTTTCTCAGTGTCTACATCAGGCTCACCTCTTTGTCCACTCTTTGTAGGTTGGTTTCCTGCAAAATTTGTGGAGATCTTGGATGAGCGGAGTAAAGAGGTAATTAAAAAAAACCCACAACAACAACAACAAAAAACAAGATAAAAAAAAGAGTTGTGTCATAACTGAAAAAACATAGTTGAAGAGAGCCATATATTTCCCCCTCTGAGTCTGTTTGCTCTCTCTGGCTATTGAGCGCTTAGTGATGTGATCAGGCAGCTTATCTTCCTAAGCCTGTTTGCTCTGCTTCCTCATGCTGACCGAGTGGAGAATGAGGGTCCCAGAGGGCTGCAGGGGGTAGCTGAGTGAGATGCCTGGGTTCGCAAGGACCCTAGAGACGAACCTTGGGAAAGCTGAGAAAGCAGCAAGCAGGTACGCGGCAGGATCCTGTGGGCAGTGTTTCTGCCGGCTCCCTGCCCTGCTCTTCCTCCTTTGAGGCTGTGCCTGTGGATCTCGCTCATGCTTTGCGGTCACCACAGTGAATTCTCCCCGAGCAGCTGTGCCCGAGGGAGCACTCTCTCAGTTCCTCTCGCAACTAGCAGTGGCGAGATGCCATCTATCTCGAGCAGATACCTCGATATGGCCCCAAGGCTGGGGTAGCGGGTAGGAGACAAACATCAGCAGCTGTTGGCCTAGGCAGTTTGCAGAGGAAGTGGAGAAGGCCCTGTTTTTCCTCTCCACCTCAGCATTTGGAGAGTAAGGAAGGGCTCAAAGGCTGATCTGAGACCCCTCAAGAGAAGCCCCTAGAGAGATGTCACTATTGACATCTTGCTTGCTTCCTCACCCTCTTCTCAGGGCTGGTGCCTTAGATGCAGATCACCTCTCTGAGTGTAAACGCAACCTGTACTGCTGAGCAGTTCTCCTCCCAACTGTGGGAGTAGAGAGGATCCCACTCATCCTAATTTTGGAACATCCTTCATGCTAACAGTGTGTCAGGGTGATACCTTGAAGTGGTGTACCAGCTGACTTGGGAATTCCTATCTATCCCCCTTTGTTTTGACTTTTAGCAGCTTACAAAGTCCCAGAGACCCTCAGTGCAAATCCCTCTCCTTAACTTAGCTCAGTCAGCATCGCACCAAACTGCAACAGTTCCTACATGCCGAGCTCAGCCAGGATGGTGCTGGGGTCACCCGTGTGGTCTGCTGGGCACCACCTAGGCACAAAGGTCCTGGTGTCCCACCAAATCCCTGGAGAGTAGCACTGAACGTGGTGCCTTATGCAAGAGCCAGCAAGAGTGTAAGGGGTTTAGGGAGGGGGGACTGGTGGGCACCTGGGAGTAGAAGAGGTCTGTGCAGAGAAGCTGTAGGTGAGTGGAACACCTCCATGCTCTGCCACCTCGGCAGTATGCTGAGAGCTGGCTCTTCATGTTCCTCAGTACTCTATTGCTGGAGATGACTCAGTCACAGAAGGGGTGACGGACTTGGTGCGAGGGACACTCTGTCCAGCCTTGAAGTCCATATTTGAACATGGACTGAAGAAGCCATCTCTGCTGGGGGGGCCCTGCCATCCCTGGCTGTTCATTGAAGAGGTGAGATGTCTCGGTTCCCTTCATGGGGCAGCGTTACCGGAGGGCTGGGGTGAGGGGGCTGTAGGGCAGAGTATGCTGACTGTCCCTCTGCCCTACTAGGCTGCAAGCCGGGAGGTGGAACGGGACTTTGACTCTGTGTATTCTCGCCTTGTGCTCTGCAAGACTTACAGGTAAGGCCGCTTTAGTCACACCAAGCGGCTGGGTCTCTGCCCTGCTCCTGCATGCTCATCAAACTGCTGCTGCTGCTCTCCACCTTGGGAAGGGACACAGTCTGCCCCATCCTCCTGTGGGTGTGCTGTCAGCATGCTGCTGTGCCTGTGCTGACTTGGGGCTGGCAGTGGCTCTTGTCCCCTTCCCCAGGCTCCTGTGTTTGCTTCTGGGTCTGTGTCTTCCTCTCTCATGGCTGCAGGATCACCTGTGGGCTCAGCAGTAGCGAGAGAGCTGTTGGGGTATGGAGGGGGAGAGGCCTGCATGTGCCCATGGTGGCCTCAGAGCTAGCTATGTCTCTGCTGTGATCTTTGCAGGCTTGATGAAGATGGCAAAGTCCTCACTCCGGAGGAGCTGCTTTACCGGGTGAGTGCTGCCCCCAGCCCAGCCAGAGCCCAGCTCCTAATGTGGGGAAGTTTCCCATGGAGGCTGCTGGAGGGTGAGGCTCATCTCTAGGGAGATGCTCGGGAGTCTCCCAGACCTTCCCTGATGGGAAGGAGTACAGACACCAGGTGCCTGGGGAAAGGCAGAAAGTGGAGCCATCAGGAGGCTTGGCCCCCCTGACGCTAGCAGGTGGCACTGGGTGAGGGTGGGGAGCTCCGCTCCGGGGAGGGCAGCATTTGGCTGTGTTGCCGAAACGGCTGCCCAGCTGTGCCTAAGGCTAAGCTGAGAAGGCGGTAACCCCATCTTCCCTCCCTGCAGGCGGTTCAGGCTGTGAACATGACACACAACGCTGCACATGCGCAGATGGACGTGAAGCTTCGTTCCCTCATCTGCGTTGGACTCAAGTGAGTCATCTGGTCCTGATACCCCTGGCATTACGGGTGCAAGGAGCTTGGGAGGGAGCAGAGTGGGCTCAAGGACAGCAGTTGTTTCAGTCTGCCTTAGGCCACAGGGTCTTTTTGCCCTCGCACTGCAGCCACTGAGTGCGACCTGCTCCTTTCTTGTTCATCGTGCTGGCCTGGTTCCCAGCTGGAAGAAGTAGCTCTTATTGCGTGGAGTGGGTCACACAAGTTTACTGAGTTATCCTGTTCCTACGGGGGACAAGACTGGGGGTTGGGGTCAAGGCTTGGGCCGAAAATAGACTATCCCAAAGGGACAGGGCTTCTTTCCCTGGCTTCAGCCAAATAACATGCCTCTACCCCATCGCTGCAGCGAGCAGGTGCTGCATTTGTGGCTGGAGGTGCTGTGCTCAAGCCTGCAGACCGTGGAGAAGTGGTTCCACCCCTGGTCATTCCTGCGCAGTCCCGGCTGGGTACAGATCAAATGTGAGCTTAGGTGAGTGTCCCCATGGGCCTTGCAAGGGTCTGGAATGGATTTCCTCCTCCTCTGCAGGAGGTGGCCCTCCCTATGGCTGGCCTTGGGCCCTCTCCAGTGAGGAGCAGTGTGGGCTGCCCAGATATCCCCACTGCAGAGACTTCTGTGTGCTGAGGCAGCAGCAACTGTCTAGACTGCTTAATGTGATGCACTGTGCCTGCCTGATCCAAGAGCAGAGCTTGGCTCCTGGCGAGCTGTCGTGACAAGCAGGCAGCCTCTGCCTGCCAGCAACCTCCTGCTGTGCCCTGCACCTACTCTGATGGAGAGGCTGCCTTTTCCACCCCCATGTTCTCCAGGTCCTCTGCCAGCCACCATGAGGCCAAGCAGGGAACAGGGAATGTGCTAGAGAGACAGCCTGACTGTCCCTGGCTGGGAAGGAGTCAGTCGCTGGCTGACTCCTGGTTAAGTGAGGGAGCGATGTCAGAGGCTGAACGTGGCTTTAGTGCCTGAGCTCGCACAAAGCACATCGCTTGGACCCCAGAGCACACATCCACGCTGCATGCTCCTGGCCCTCCTGCACTCCGCAAAGCCACATCCAGTCCCAGGGAGCTGTAGAGCAAACCTCCCGCCACCACCACCACTACCACTCCAGCCCTGTTGCTGCTGCTGTTCTGCGGGAACTGGTTTTTCTCCATGCCACCCGGTTGCCTCTGGCCCCAGTGCGGAGTCTGGGAGCATCCGTAGCCAGGAGCAGGCCTGTATGTACACACCTCGGGGTGCCCTGTTCTCCTTGTGCTGCTGCGGAAGGGGAGGAAGGGAGTCCATTCCACCTCTCTGCTGCCTGTGTCCTGTGGGGCAGCGCTAGTTCAGCACAGCCAAAGGACCAAGCGCGACTGGTTCATGGCTGGGGCCAGGTTTATGTGGAGCAGGAGTGGAGGCTTATGCCGTATTTCTCCTAGCCAGCTTCCTGTGGAGGGCTCAGCAACCTCACTGCAGCAGGAATCGGAGGAGATACCCACACAGGAGTTTCCCCTGAGCCTGAAAGATTGACGAGCTTGTTGCCAGGAGGTCTGAGCTGTGTGTCTCTGTCCTAGGGACAGGGTTGAGGCTGTGCCTGCACCCCCTGCTTAGAGCCGGGTCTGATGAGGGAGCTCCAAGTGCCATCCCCATGCGGCAGTTGTCCATGGGGGTCAGGACACTTCTCTTACTCCAGGGAGAGAGAGGGGGGAATGCAGAAACTCTGAGGTGCTACTGGCAGGGGTCTGCTTTCTAGAGAGGAACCTGCAACTCCCCCCATTGCCGCTGCTTGCAGTCCTCAGCCATGTGTGTCTGCCGTCTGCCCGTGCCTCCCTGCGCTGCTGTGTCAGGCTCTGTAGGGGTTGCACTTGAGTCACATCTTCAGGCTTCTCTTTCCAGCCTGAGCCTGGCAGGGTGTGAAGCCCAAAGAGGAGGGGGAAAGAGGGGATGAGTGGCTGGTGCTGCCCTTTCAACAGCAACAAACAAGTAATTTCATCCTTGTAAGCTTTGTGGCGTGCCGGGCCAAGCTGAGGAGCCGGTGCAATTGTGTGCCTGGGGCGCAGCAGTTGTGGGCACAGGCTGGGAGTTGTGGTCTGGGGGGGTGTGCTACCATCTCTCTCTTCCATTGCAGAGTCCTCTGCAAATTTGCCTTCAGCCTCTCTCAGGACTGGGAGCTGCCAATAAAGAGGGAGGTGAGTAGGTGGCATCTCTCATTCTCTCCCTCAGCCGGGGGCTTCCCTCTCCCATCTTTGTGCTCCAGCCCATCCTCTGCCTCCTCTTGAGCCGGCACCGGAGGCTGTGGATGGGGCTGCTTTCCCTGCCAGGGCAGGCCGTGCCCGGGAGCTGCGTGCCAGTGCTGGCAGGGGCTGCTGCCTGCCCCTGCCCAGCTGGGGCAGAGGGAAATGGCGGCCCGTCCCTTCCCCGGTGCTCTCCAAACCGCAGGGCCTCTCCCTGTTTCAGCTGCGCGGAGGTGGGGAGCGCAGAGGGCTGCTCTGTCCAGGCGCCGGAGACCTCGGTGCGCTTTGGGGCTCTGCCCGCAGACGCGACCTCCCTTTTTCTGGGTGCGGTGCACTGACCCGGCTCTCTGTGTCGTCCTGCAGGAGAAGGAGAAGAAGCCGCTGAAGGAAGGGGTGCAGGACATGCTGGTGAAGCACCATCTCTTCAGCTGGGACATAGATGGGTGACCCCCACCCCGCCCCATCCTTGGGGAACCTTCTCAGTGGCGCACACTCCTCTCCCCCACCCCCATCATGTCTCACCCCCTGCCCTCCCCCCCCTCCCCCACTCGTATCTGTGACAAAATCCCCCTCGGGGGGGCTGCCAGGCCACCCGGGACAGACGGCGGCAGCGCCAAGAGGCCGAGCTGCAGACCTGCGAGGGAGGTGATGGTGGAGGGTGATGCTGCAAAAGGGACAAGCGTGTTCTGGCCACAAAAACAAGTTGCCCCCTCCCAGCCTTCCCCAGCTCTGCCACCCCCACCTCCTGCCTGCCTCTACCCTGTCTCCCCCCTCCCCGTGCCTGGGGGAGCTGCCTGGCCCGCAGCCCCTCACGCGCAGCCCCATGGGCCAGCGGATGTGTGGGTGCGTGAGCGTGTCTGCTGCCGTCGCTGTGGGGAAGAGGCAGCCCGTGCGGGGTGGCTTTGATCCGTGAAAGCTGGTGCCATTGGCGGGTGGCACCACGGGTGCGAGTGGAATCGGGCTGGTGAGAGGCTTGTAGGGATAGCACATCTCCCCGCCCCGGGCCAGCCAAGGGCTCGCCTCTGCCTGGGAGAGGGATGGCAAAACCTGAAGCACTTGGGAAAGTTCCTCTGACCTGGAGCAGGGACTGAGAAGAGGGAACTGGCATCGGCCTTATCCCACCTCCCTGGCACTGGTGTGTGGGGTGTTGACAAGAGGTGCCCGACCCTAGGGGATGGGCCTTGTCTCCTCTGGGAGCAGACAAAAACCCCTTCTCCCCTAAACAAGAGTGTTTCATGCTGTCATTTTAGTCTCTAGATGATTTTTACTGTTAACCAAAAAGCTGTAAATTAACTCCAGGAACGTGTATATTTTGGCACTGTTGTAGCTCAGGACGGGGTTCAGGTTGGAGCTGGCTCAGGGAGACTAACTCGTCCTCCTCACCCTGCGGCGGTGGCAGGGATGCAGGTCAGGAGTGGAGAATTGCTGCTTTGTGGTGGTGGCTCTGGATATGGAGTCTGTGACTTTCTACTGAAAGCGCTTGTCTGTGAGCACAAACTACTCATGAAATGACACTAGATTCTTACTTTCCTTTATTCGGTGGGTTTGTAAATAAACTGGATCTTGGGAGAGTGCCGGGCTTTGGCTTTGTTTTTTTTGACAGGGCCAGGTCTAGATTTAATTCTTAATTTCTGCCGGTTGATTATTACGATCCCGTTTCTCCGCTGGCATCAAGCTGAGGTCTCCTCCCCTCGGGCTCCTCACTGGCCTCCCACCGGGGCAGGAGCAGTTGTGCCGCCAGCACTGGCAGCCCTGCCTTGCCTCTCTGCTGCCAGCCCTCCCCCAAGTGCAGCTCCGCAGCAGAGCCCCAGAAAAGCAAGAAATACTCAAAAACGAGGGGGTGTGGGGACACTGCAGGAGGAGGGCCCTTAGCAAAGGGAGCGGGGCTGGCAGAAAGCAGGGCTGGGTGGTGGTGGATAGCAGCGTTGTCCGTACAACAAGCAGCTTTTCCAGAAAAAAAAAGGTGGAGTCTTGGCTGCAAAGCGGGACAGGAACAGGGCACAGGCCTGGGAAGAACCCTGTTCAGAAGCCCAAGGTCGTGGGAGGGTGGGAGTTACAGCGTATTTATTGATGTGAAAAATGAGTGGTTTCAGTCAAAGTAATTCCAGTTTGGCATCTGGCTGGGGAAGGCTGCAGTGTCACCTCACCACTGTAACGAACGGCTGCAGTCCAGAGCAGCCTGCAGGGCTGGGGGAGGCTGTAAAAGCTGCCTGTGCTTCTCCCACCATAAGACCTACTTCTGGCTGCAGGGTAGGTAATTTCCATACACAGAGGGAATCTCCCTGCAGCTGAGACGAGATGAGGCACCACCACTCAAGCTTCTTTTTTTTCTGGTTTGAGAAAGACCCAGAGGGATCACCCACCCTTAGCTGGAAAAGGCAGAGTGGCCCCAAGCCCTCCCACCAGCATAGCAGAGAAGTTTTTGAGCACGTGGCTGTTTGTTTGGAATTTTTTTAATAAAATGGATTTTTTTTTTCAAATATTTGTAACTGAAAAAATAATTCAATTTAAAGATCCATTCTCTCCCCCGTTAACTTGTCACTTTTATCCTTTTCCAGTTGAATACTCGCTCTAGATCCGATGCCCCAACACCATCTGTCTCCAGTGGTGCTGGTCACCCCTCACTGTTTGCTGCATAGTGGAAGGGAGAGTGCGTACTAGTCAAATACACATTACAAACAAGTAGTGGTTACAGCAGAAAGATTCAGGATTACATTCAAGGTAGAGGCAGAACATCAGACTTCGTTTTTCCCAGTGGGTGCAAAAATGTACGTCCAGGGGAATACCTCTTCCGACAAAGAACTATTGAACTATTATTCAAACAAATAATAGTAAGAAAGCAGAGAACTGGGCTAGCCTGCTCTGGGCACTGCTTGGGGAAAAGACTTCCTACTATTTCCAGGGATGAGGCACCATCTTCCCCTCTGCCCATGGGCGCTGGGTTATGGCTCGCTCTCCTGGCAGAGGGGCTCTGGCAGGTTAGCTGCTTTCCTCAGGAGGTGAGGCTCTTGGTTCTGTATCGTCTGGACTCCTTGAGGGCTCTTGAGCCCATCAGCCAATTTCAAGTATGTTGTTGGGCAGATATAACATACTTAAATTAATTCCTACAAAGTTTCACAAATGAAGGTGGGTGGGTAAAGGTGAAAGGGAGCAGCTGTGAGCTCAGCCTTTCACCCTCAACCCTGGGGAAGGGCTATATTGGTAATGGGCATTGGCAGCTCTCTGCCAGCAAAGACAGGGGTGCCTGGCCCAGCGTGAGGAACCGTGGCTGGGTCAGGCCGGGAGTGCTCCCACCTTCCTCGAGGAGCTCATTGCACTTCGGTAATTTCATTCTTTGTTTACTGTTTGCAGCTTTGTAATTATTTGTATAAAAGATATCACACAGCTGGTTTTCGTGGGGGCTACTGCTCACTGTGGGCTAAAAGCAGCTGATTTTGCTTCAGTTTGACAAATAGGTACCCTCACTTTTTCCCTGTAGCAGTTGAAAGATCCTCCCCTTGCCCCCCATCCTTTCCTCCTAAGAAAGCACTTGCCTCCTGCACCCACCTGGTCCCATGGCTGGGCAGCTGCCCCGGGGGAGCTCTGTAAGGCAATTAATTACTAATGCACTCTCTGCTCCCAGTGAGCACCAGGGCTGCACCAGGAGAGAACTAGGGAGGGGCGGGGGGGTCAAAGAGGGTGTCCATCAGTCCCAGTTATTCTGATTTTTAGGACATGATACTGTAGTTTGGGCAACAGAAAGTGGGTGCCAGGGGGGAAGGGGGTATCCCTCTCCAACCCAGACACTGAAGGAAGCAGATAAGAGGCTCTGACTTGCTTACAACTGGGGGGGAAGAAGGGGGCAGAAAGGAAGGAAGCTGCCAGCAGGCTTCACCTCCAACTGATTAAGTGGCTCCCCATGCAGTTAACAAGCAAATAGGGCTCAGGAAAGCAGGATTTTCTCCCAGCTGCAAAACAGGCATGACCCCCCCAGCTGCCAGTTTGGTGGCTGACGGAGAGCACAGTGTGCAGGGCTGGCAGTCACCTGCCCTGGAGCAGGGGTACCTGCCCCCCCCTGCAGCAAGGCCCCCCCAAGAAGAGCGCTGGGTACCAAAGGGGAAGGGGAGCACCATGTGCCCCTCCCCAGCAGGCAGCACTGCAGCCCGGCGTGGGGCAAAGGTGAGGACAGCATCCTCAAGGAGATACTAAAAAGGATGGCAGTTTTTTTCCTTCCAGTGCCTGAGCAGGGTCAGCACCTCGGTCTGTACGATTTCAAAAGCCACTGCCTCCAGCCCTGCCCTTGGGAACTGCCACCCCACAGCCTGGACCCAGCTCAAGGCCAAAGCAGGGACAGCTGTGTGGCCAGGCAGTTGCATGGAGCACAGCAAGGCTACGGCTCACCAGGTAAATAATATGGCGGTGAGCTACTACTAACAAATACAGGAATTTAAAAGTGACGGGAGTAACAGCACAGGAGAGAGCCACAGGCCTGGGTTTCCAACGCAAAACCCTGCACAAGTAATAGCATCATCATGGCTGGGGGGGGGGCGCTTGGGGGACTCGTGCGCCTGCTCATCAGTCAGCAGCCCCAGGCCCTTTGTGGCCACAGCTGGCTGGACACAGGGCAGCAGCTCCCAGTAAGCAGCCATTTGCTTTTGCCTTTTACCCCGTGGGCCTGGAGGGAAGGAAGAGCGGAGGTCAGCTGCCCGTTACTTGCTTTCAGGCTCCCACTTGTCCCAGAAAGCGGCCCTCACAGTCGCACTCCTGAGCTAGGACCTGCGTTGAGCCTCACAACACCCTTTTTGCAGTGCCGCTTCCCCTTCCTTGCCTGTTGGGCTGCTGCTTTCTGCTGGGGCACCTGCTACAGGGAGGCAACAGCACAGCTGAAGGCGAGAGACAGATTGCACATGGCCCCTAATGATATGTTGCTCATCGCTAGCTGTGCCCCCCACACGCTCCCCAGGACACACGGACAATTTCTTGTCCCTAACCCCCACCACAGACTGACTGCCCTGCTCACCTGGGGATGTCACCAGCGCTGTGGCAGCTGGGGGGGACAGGGGTGTGCCTTAAGGCTAGCTTCCAGGCACAACCAGAGGTCTGGGGCAGCGAAGGACAGATTTTAACATATAAGGACCTGGATTTTAGCACCTTAAAAATCTGTTTTGCAGCCCAAAGCGAGTGAAGCAAGCAGGCAGGCCTCTGCCAAGCTCAGCAATATTTGGGAAACCAGCTGAGACATTACCAGGTTGGGGTGGGGGGAACCCTGGTTCCCTTTGGCTACGTTTGGAAAAGGTGCCTGTTCTGCCCAGCTCCTCGCAGCCCTGCGGCAGAACAGGCCCTCCCCTGACAGACAGGAGGGGGTGCAGAGGGCAGCCGTGCCCCCAGCCGACACTCCCGCCTTTTGTGTCCTGCTCCGGAGGTAGAATCCCCTTCTGCAACCGTTAAACCTCCTTTATTTGCCAATCCCAGCGAGGCGTGGGGTGCCGCTTCTGGAAACGGCTCGGGCCC